GTAGCCAGAGCAGAGGATCCAATACGTTAACAAATGTACCGGCACACCTAGGGTGACTTTTGGTGGAGTTAGGGTTAAGAATTTGTTGCAACCTTTTGGAGTTTTAACAAGTAGGTTCCTGGGGTTGTGAATCAAGGCGTTTGGAAAGATCTAAGGTTACCTGGCCACAATTCGTCTATCAGCTTGCCTACTGTGGTGGCTTGTGCGTTGCTGTGATGCTGGGAGGTCTGCCACTGATACTTTAATACCAGCAGGGTCATCCGTTGTAGACAGGTTTCAGCTGAGCTTCCAGACTACGACTTGGAAGAAAAGGCCAACTGTTTCTGAATACTTAGCCATGGAAAGCTTTATGAATAGCAGCCAAACACTGTCAAAAATAGTGCCAGAAGATGAAAATATTATGAATAGCAACAAAATATTGTCAGATATAGTACAGGAAGATAAGCCCCTTAGTTTGGTAGGCACTCAAAATATGATTGGGGGGTCTCCTCAAAGTACAATTGACCATGATGACAGGAATGGAGTAAAGTTTTTGGAATCTTCATTTGCTGATGGAGTACAAATCAAACTGAGGAGAAACAGCTGTAAATAGTCATCAATAATCAGAATATGGAATATACAAAGTATTAATCTAGGAAAATAGGAACTTGTCGAAATGAAACGCATAAACATTGACATCCTTGGCATTAGTGAGTTGAAATGGACTGGTATTTTGAATATGACAATCATAAAGTTTACTACGCCAGGAATGACAAATTTAAGAGGAATGGAAGAACATTCATCATCAAAAAGAACAATTTCAAGATCTACCTTAAAGTATGATGCTGTCTGTGGTAGGATAACATCCACATGCCTAGAAGAAAGACCAGAGTCCTGGTGTGACAATGTAGGATCAGCACTAGACTGGTAACCCCAAGGCTGGTGGTTCAATCCCACCAGCTGTTCCTGGGAAACTATACATAGTCATTATCAGTCAGAACTGACTTGATAGGCACTTACACCACCACCACCACAGGAAGAACAATTAATACAACTATTACCCAAATCTGACACACCAAAATTACTAAACTCAGTGATGATGAAATTGTACACTTCTACCAATTACTTCAGTCTGAAATTGATTAAATGTGCAATCAAGATGTATTGATAATTACTGGTGACTGGAATGTGAAGATAGTAAACAAAGAGGAAAGTTCAGTAGCTGGAAAAGATGACCTTGGTGATAGAAACAATGTTGGAGATCAAATTATAGAATTTTGCAACACAAATGACTTATTCATTGTAAATAGCTTTTTAAAACAACATAAAAGACGACTATAAACATGGACCTCACAAGATGGGGTACATAGAAATCAAACTGACTACATCTGTGGAAAGAGACGGTGGAAAAGCTCCATGTCATCAGTCAAAACAAGACCATGGAATGACCATCAATTAATTGCTTAGATGCAAGTCCACGCTGAAGCTGAAGAAAATTAAAATGAGTTCACGTGAGCCAAAATATGACCTTGAACATATCCTACCTGAATTTATATATCATCTAAAGAACAGATTTTATGCAGACCAGAAGAGTTGTGGGATGACACCAAGAACATCATACAAGAAGAAAGCAAGAAAAAGTAAAAGAATTGACCAGAAATTTTCATAGGGAAGTTCAAGATGGCAAAGTCAAATATTATAATGAAATGTGCAAAGATATTGAGTTAGAAAAACAAAAGGGAAGAAAAAGCTCAGTATTTCTCAAGCTGAAAGAACTGAAGAAAAAATTCACTCCTCGACTTGAAATACTGAAGGATTCTATGGGCAAAATATTGAATGATGCAGAAAGCACCAAAAGAAGATGGATAGAATACACAATCACTGTACCAAAAGAAATGGTTGCTATTCAACCATTTTAAGAGGTAGCATATGATCAAGAGCCAGTGTTACTGAAGGAAGAAGCCCAAGAGACACTGAAAGCATTAGCAAAGATCAAGACCCCGGTACTGATGCGAATTTAAATCTTTGAACAAATGGATGCAGCACTGGAGGCACTCACTCATCTATGCCAAGAAAACTGGAACACAGCCTACCTGATCAACTGATTGAAAGAGACACATTATCTGTGTTCAATTCAAAGAAAGGTGACCCAACAGAATGCAGAAATCATAAATATCATTAATATTGTACATGTAAAATTTTGCTGAAGATAATTAAAAATGGCTGCAACAGTGCACTGACAGGGAATTACCAGAGAGCTTCAAGCCAGATTCAGACAAGATTGTGGAGCAAGAGGTATTATTGCTGATGCCAGATGTATCTTAGCTGAAAGAAGAGGATACCAATAAGACATTTACCTGTGCTTTACTGACTATGCAAAGGCTTTCGACTGCATCATGACATATGACAGCATTGCGAAGAATGGGTATTTCAGAACACTTCACTGTGCTCATAAAGAACCTGTACAAAGACCAAGAGGCAGTCCAAGGGAACACTGAACGGTTTAAAATGAGGAAAGGTATATACCAGGGTTATATTCTTTCAAAATACTTATTCAATTTGAGAAGCTGGATTATATGAAGAACGTGGCATCCAGATTGGAAGAAGCCTCCTTAACCTGTGATACACAGATGATAAAATTTCGCTGCTGAAAGCCAAGAGGACTTAAAATATGTACTGAGAAAGGCCAAAGACCACAGACTTCAGCATGTGTTGCATCTCAATATAAAGAAAACAAAGATCCTCACCACTGGACCAATAAATAACATCATGAAATGGAGAAAAGATTGAAATTGTCAAAGACTTCATCTTGCTTAAATCCACTATCAACACTCATGGAAGCAGCAGTCATGAAATCAAAGGATGTATTCCATTATGCAAATCTGCTGCACAAGACCTCTTTTAAGTGTTCAAGAGCAAAGATGTCAGCTTGAGGACTAAGGTATGCCTGACTAGAGTCAAGGTATTTTCAATAGCCTAATATGCATGTGCAAGTTGGGCAATGAATAAGGAGAATAGTAAAACCGATGCATTTGAGTTATGTTATTGGAGAATATTAAAAGTACCATGGACTACAAGAAAAACAAATCTGTGTTGTAAGTGCAGCCAGAATGCTCCTTAGAAGTCAGGATGGCAAGACTTTGTCTCTCATACTTCAGGCATGTTATCAGGAGGGACCAGTCCTTGAAGAGGACAGCAGCTTGGAAAAGTGGAAGGTCAGTGAAAAAGAGGAAGGCCCTCAATGAAATAGGTTGGGATACTGGCAACAGTAATGGGTTCAAGTGCAACAACAATTGTGAGAATGGCACAGGACCAGGCAGTGTTTCGTTCTGTTTTGCACAGGGTTGCTATGAATCAGAATTGACTCAAAGGCACCTAACAACGAAAGGTACTCTCATACCATAAACATTAGTAAATTTATCATCTTGATTTGTTTCTCAAAAACGATCTAGTCTTAAATTGGCTTCCTAAAATATATGGGTTATTCAAAACCACAGTTTGATGCCATATAAATGCATGTGTTGGTAAGAAATAGGTCACGTACATGTTTCTAAAGTCTGTGGATACTGTGAGACCCGTGAGAGCTGGGATGCAACGAAACTGCCTTTTTAGTGTGTGTGTGTGTGTGTGGGGGGGGGTCTCAAAAATGTTCTGCTTTACATTTCTACCGCTCTCTATTAGGGAAAAAGAGGAAGACCCCTAATGAGATGGATTGGCCAGGTGGCATCATTGATATTCTCAAGTGTGGCGGCAGTAGTGAGGTTGGCCCAGGATCGGACATTGTTTCGTTCTTCTGTGCATGGGGTCGCTATGAGTCGGTTCCAACTCGATGGCACCTGACAACAACAACTATCAGGGAAAGCATTTGAGTTTTCCTTCTCTGATAGGTTTACACAGGTCCCAGCTTTCACAGGTTTACTGTATACCTTAAAGACACCTCTATACTGACTTATATACTAGTACAATTCAGACAAAGGGGGCATCAAGGCTAGCACCAGTTGCATTCTGAGAGCCTATTTGGGATAGACTTAAGCTCTACCACAGAGCTGGAGCACTTACCTCTGTTTTCCCCCTGCTATTCATTTCTTAGCTGCCTTTTTCAGGTCAGGAAAATTCTCCTTTTGGTGAGCCTGGCTCACCAGGCTATTTCCTCTTTGGTGCCCGGTCCTGATGAGCACACTTCTTTCATAGGTCACCTTAGAATGGTTATGCATTCCCAAACTGCAAACATTAGACGCCATTCCTACTGAGTGCTTATAAGCACTGATGATTTGGGAAATTGGCTCATTTTTTTGTCAAATGTAAAAGAGAATGCCGTGTGAATGCAAAGCAGCAGCAAACCCTGACATGCTAAGCAAAGCTCCCTTATTACATTATGCCATAGGACTACAAATCTTCAAAATGACGTCTCTTCACATGACTGCCTTACTATTTATTCATTACAACACTGCGGCAAGCAGCTTCAGTATCGCCCATTTAAAAGATATCGTAGTCAGTGTAAAGTGAACGATGTCCTCACAGTGCTCAAGTTGCCGTGTTCCTCATTTCCTCTTCATCCGCTCACAATCTGCATCTCCTGAGCACATTATAAATGTCAGATGAAGCCTATTATTGCATTTATCCTCATATTTTCCCACATTAACTAGTATTCCTTTGAGTTGGAACTGACTCATTGGCACTTAACAACAACAACATATTCATTACTAGTTGCTCAGAAAATCCAATCCTCTGAGGAAATGACCCTGTTGCAGAAAAACATGTAAACCACAGTAGACAGCATATGTTCTGTGTGTGTAGGGACGACAACTGGCCCCTTTTTAAAGAGCAGATTTCCTGCAACTTTTAAGATAGAATTCTTCTTAGATACAAGCCATCTTCTCAAGTCTTTACAAGTCTTCTTTTCTAATGAGCATTGGCTTTTTTAAAATTTAAAACCATGATTTTCAAGATAAGAGAAAACAGAGGATCTCACATCTAAATCGAAATATTTATACTTGGTAAGACAAAAAACTCAAGATCACAGTACACAGCAGTTATTTATTTAAATACTTGAAAAGGTTGAGGATGAAAAAAATAGGTTTATCATGAGAGTTTATATTTATTAGATTTATTTTATCATTTAAAAAAAAAAGTGCTGACTCTAGTTTATCCTAACCAGCTAGAGAACACTTCATGACACATGCAGTTACTGCAATATACTATAGCAGACACAGCCATTACAGAGTGAGTGATTTACACATTGGGAGGAAATTCCACAGTAGTAATGGTGACTGTTTATTTAAACTAAAAATATTGACATATACAAATTGTTTGTCCCATTTGATTGAAAGGGCTATAAAATTCAACATACCAACAAACAAAGCAACATAATCATGTAAATAATGCCTCTTCAAATTGCCTTTGGCTTATCCTTCCTTAGAAGAGAGCCTCAGACACAATTTTCTAGATTGATGATGGTTTCAAGGCCTTTTTTCCTGAACTGAAAGAAAGTTGTGTTGGTAAGCTGACACTGACTTGCTTGTTTTTAAAAACGGAGAGAAATGGCAAATTGTGCCTCATGTTCTTATACAAGGATCATTTTGAGTAAATGGGAAATAAATACGTGATCCATGAGTAAATACAATCTCTGGGCTGACTTAACACCTAGGGGAGTAAGCCAAGTGAGTACTAACAATACCATGTAGAACTGTCTAGAAACTCCATTTCTAGAACACCATTTGGGAGACCATATCTTGCCTGAATATGTACATTATTTACAAAATATTCCCTTGTGGCCTGTAAAATATAGCCATTTCACTTTGATTGTTAAGCTGTTTTCTTTCCATATGCTAGCCAATTACTGCAGTTACAACTATCATTAAAATACTCTTATGCATGAATTACAAATATTAATAAAGTAACTGCATGTATAAATATCTCAATATTTCTAGCAGAATTCAAAGCATTCAGAATGTACATAAAAGTATTTGTTTTTTGGTAGGGCCAGAATTTTTTTTTTTTTTTTTAATCATCGCTGTTTCAATAATGCTTTGTACATAGCAAAGCCCAAAACTGCAAAAACAGTAGCACCAAAACTTGCTCGAAGCCAAAACGTGGAGCTCTTGAGGTCGGCTTGTGTCACGTGCCTGCAGTCAGAAAATATAATTAATGTTTAAAACATGATTAGTGTGAAAACCTATACCAGTCATGTGACTGTCACTTTTAGGGAAGTATTAGCGCACTTGTCAGGCTAATTGCATACAGGTGAGCTTATCCAGAGCATTTATCTATATAATCATATAGACCAGACCTAGCTATTTCTATTGCTTAATCATGGTTTATGAAAAAGATAAAATATAGACACAAATAAAGACAAATGTCTGTAATTAGTTACTATTTTGGAGGGACCTTCTAGATTTTTCTACGTTTTCTTCACATTGGAAATGCAGAAGTCACAGAAATCAGCCTACCATTTTTTAATATCATCACAGTACAACTGAGTTTGGACAATACTGAGAGTCCTTTTCATGGAACTTGAATAGCCGGCAACCTCCTATCCCCAGAAACTGCAAAGCTGTCTTGTAAGCAGTTAAGTGACAAGTGATAATACTTTTCTAAGAGCAATAATTAAAGTCTTTGGAAACTTTGGAAACACTGAACCCCATTAAAAAAATCCTTACCCCAGAAAAATTCCAAAGTGTGAGGGGAAGATGTAAATAATTTATATTAATTTAAAGACAAGAACAAAAATAAACCACACCCCGGTGTTAGTCAGACAGGCAGTGGCAATGAAAACAACTAAAGGACACAATGCAACGTGATGGTATGGAAGGTAGATGACATAAAAAAGACAAGAACGGGACAGCCTTTACCACAAACTGAGTTTGTGAGCATGCTCAGTTAATAACACTGCTAAGCACCCTCAAAAGTCTCAAGTATGACAGCTTACCATGAAGAGGATAAAGCTTTTTTAAAGCACAGGTTGGAAGACTTTAAGTGTCACTGAAGTTTTAGTTAAGTAAATACAATTGAAGCAATATGTAAAGCTTACAGAATTAAGAGCTCAGAGAGACTGTCTAGTTTATTTATTTTACAACCAAGTGAAACAGATTTGAAGAAAATGTCAGACATCATTAAAAGACCAATACACTAACATATGCAAAAGGGTTAAGAGCCAAGAAAAGAAACTGTATAAAACTACTTTGCCTCAGTTAATAATCACAGCGTAAACACTTAGATTAGTATCACAAAATGCAATCATCTGAAAACAAGTCTACAATAAAAGCCAGACTGTTTCATGCTTATAACCATGGCAAAGCAACATACAACACTTTAATCTTTCCTTAACGTAGTTTTTTCACAAAGCAAAGTAATAACATGGGTTCATTCCACTTCGCAAGTTAGTTTTTCCAACAGGCAGTGTTTTATTTAAAAAAGAAAACGAAGTTAGGGAAGAGAATACTTAGGTGTCAGTTTTTCCACCTGGAAAAACTCCAACAAGGTTAACGCAATGGTTGTGGAAAATGTTACCTGGCTTCAAGAAAAAGTGGGCCATGAGAGGACTCCATGAAGATGGAATCTTCTACCGAGCTGACGGCGTGCACCTGGTGAGTAATACTGCCTTCGTCGTCTGCTAACAGCATGGCACCCCACTCAGCTACCCGGGCTCTTAACCTTTTATACACATGCACACAGTTTGCAGTTCACAGCAGAGCTCACAAAGGGAGACTCAAAATAACATCTCTCAATTAAACATCCCACAAATAAACTGAGTTGCCACTCTATGTGATACATCTCATGCTTTCTATAATTAAAATAAATGAATTCTATTGCAGAATTGCCAAACTTGAAAACAAAGACCAAAAAAAACTATCTTTATGCTCTCTTTTAAAACATCCACACACTGGATAAGGAAACCTAAAACCGTCACATACATTCTCTCCATATACTTAAGGCCACTCTGATCTGTCCAAAAGTAACATTATAAAGCAGGATCTGACAGTATGTGGTGGTGACCATAAGCATTCATTTAAAATGAGCCTAGGAAGTACTTAGTCATGAAACTTATAAATTTTGGATTATCTATAACTAACTGCAAACATACAGTCTGAGTAAGTGAAAAACTGAGTCCAACATTTCAAGCTCACAGGCTGCCTCAAACTATGCAAACTTCCAAGTTTACGGCTCCAGATCAACAAAGATGTACAGAACACACGCTACACGCATAGGACAGCTTTTGCTGCAGCTTTGGCCTCTCTGTGACTAACATACATCTTTACTAATAGAGGGATTTCATTTTAATTTTTACAATTATTTTTTAATTTAAGGGAGAGTGGGATTAGGATTTAAGATAGCCATAACCATATAAAATCATAAAATAATTTCTTCAAATACAAGTATATTTCACACAGCTTCTTTTTTGTGTGTTTTAAGAAAGTAAAAAACAAACAAACAAAAAAAAGCCTCACCACCTTGATTCTAACTCATAGAGGCTGCCAATCTTTTACAGAAGAAAGCCTCATCTTTCTCCTGCAAAGTAAGTGGCTGGAGGTTTGAACTGTCGACTCTGTGGTTAGCAGTCCAGTGTTTATCCTACAGCGCCACTAAGGATCATTAAGAAAATATTACTATTCATGAAATAAGATATTATGACTGACTTTACTGCTTAGTTTTCATTTACATTTCAAGATTGTAATTACTATTTCCCCCATGCTATAACGAAGTCTTCAATAAGGTAAAACAGAGGTACATATTTACATATGGGAAACATTATAAATAAATGCTCAAGATATAGTTTAATATTTAAGGCACCTAATAACTCATAAAGGAGTCCTGGTGTGGCGCTGTGAGATAATGCATTAGACTGCAAAGCTGTTTGAACTGCAAGGTCGGCGGTTCAAGCTCACCTGCTGCTCCTTGGAAACCCCGTGCAGGGTTGCTATGGTTCGGAATTGACTCAACCGCACTTAACAACTAATAAAATATATTTTAGTGGCTCCATCAATGTTTTTTTTTTTCCCTTGTTATTTTATTTATTTATTTATTTAAATGTTTTTATTTTGGATTGAGTGAAAGTTTACAGGGCACATCATCAGCTTCACATAGCTTGTTTCATTACATTGATTATTATCCCCTCCATATAACATCAGTTTACAGTGTTTCTCTCTATCCTCTTTAGCTTTCTTTTTTGGAAGGGGGGGGGGGGACTTGCCTTTTTGGAATTTACAGTCTCGGCTTTTAGGGAAGGTTTTTACATTTGTCTGTGGATATCCAGGGCTCATGTATGAGATTACTAACAAGCATTACTGAATAATCGGATGAGGGACAGTTTGCTATGTCCATCAATGTTTTAAATACTTTTTGTTATTAAATGCTGTCGAGTTGGTTTAGAAATGGAAAAATGACTCAGATAACTATATATGGCTTTATTCATGTGCATTTAAAAGCCACACTAACCAGGCTCTGGAGTCCTGGTGTGGTGCTATAGGATAAGCACTGGACTGCTAACCACAAGGTCAGTGGTTCAAACCTACCAGCTACTCCTCGAAACCCTTGAAAACAAGATCACTATGAGTTGGAACTGACTCAATGGTAACTAATATCAACAACAATAAACCAGGCTCTAGTTCTAAACAAGAAGCATTAATGATTTTAATAGCACATTTGTCACTGACTAGCTAGTAAGGAACTAACTATAGGATAAGCACTGGACTGCTGATCACAAGGTTGGCAGTTCAAACTCACCAGTCACTTCTTAGAAACCCTCTACAGGGTTGCTACGAGTTGGAACCAACTCAACGGCACTTAACAACAACAGCTAACAGGCAATGACTGAATAGAGAATGTGATCTTCAATATATTCCCTAAGTATCAAAAACTAATTTATGTCTGTCATTTCAGATCTCAAGCAGAAACTGAGTAACAGTTTCTTAAAATGACTTTCTAGTTTATTTCTACGTTCAAGTAAAAATAATTCCTCCATAATTCAAAAGCATAAATCTTTCAAAATAACTTCATAAAAACATGATCTTAGAATAAACTTATTGTATACTTTCTCTCTTAGTCAAAGTTTACTTTCTTTTTGAGGATTATAAAGGTAATATATGCTCATTATAGGAAATATGAAAAATACAGAAGAGTAGGAACAAAAAAAAAAATACCACCCAGAGTCCTTTTACTGAAAGGCAACCCCTTTAAATTTGGTGCATTTCCTTTTAGATATTTTCTATGTGTTTTTTACATAGCTGAAAACGCAATGTGTGTAACTTTCTATATACAAAAGTATACAAAATTTTATATACTTTTAAAGCTGATTCTAAAGTAAGAAGTTTTCTATATATTATGGAAAATTCATGTGAAATAGCTGCATTCCATTCCATTCTTTTATGAAGGCTATCTCCAGTTATTGGAGTCCTGGTGTGGCGCTGTGGGTTAATGCGCCAGACTGCAAAGTCATTTGAACTGCAAGGTTGGTGGTTCAAGCTCACCAGCTACTCCTTGGAAACCCTATACAGGGTCACTATAGGTCGGAATTGACTCGACAGCCCTTAACAACAACATCTCCATTTATTGGTGACTATGAATAAAGTGATGAATATGCTTCTACATAAATTTTTTTTTTCTGTATTTAGGGTATTTTCCTTAAGAAAAACTTCTCAGAAATAAATAGTTCAGGTGTGTATGTGAGTATGTGTGTGTATAAAGGTTATTTTTCTATATAATGATTACCAGAATCAACAAACATTTCCTATTCAATATGAAATGAGTTCAGCACCATTTCTTTTAAAAATATAATCAGAAATAAAGACTCCTCTGATTGTTTGTGGCTGAAGTATTATCTATAACTACTTCTATTAACAAGATCACTACTGTTAATGAAAATTAAAATTTAATAATAATTCTCCTAATTGAACTAGTAACACATGAAATATTTTAATACTTCTTAACATTGGTTAAGAAATCAAAATACAGCATCCAACAAGGTGAATTACAACACAAAAATCATAAACACACTGTTAACTGAGCATGCCTAAATAGTAACATCCTTTGGAAATGGACACAGGTGTGCATCAAGGTCAAGAAATGCTACACTAAGCATTAGAAGAATGCAAATTTACAGATGACTATAGCTACATAGCAAATGCTC